CAAGTGTCTTATTTAACAGGAAGATCGAGACCCAGCTGAAAAGAGGAGATTGCTACTTTTTCACTCCCCCCCCCCGCTTTTTGGGGGGTGAAACCGTAACAGCACGCGAGAAATTACAACAAGGGTTCAGAGGAAACGTCTTAACCTAAGAGATCCTTGACACTTCGTTTTTTGCGTCACTGGAAATCTCTTTCCCGGGAGGAGAGGGATAGTGGATCGCAGTGGTCCAGCTGGCAAACACTTACTGGGCAATTTAATGGCTGAAAGTGGGTGATGGAGGCCTGTTCGAAGAATCGGGATTAACAGGAGCACGCAGGCAAGCGGGCACACACTTTAAAAAATGCGCCCCGGTAGCCTATAAGGCCATTAAGTCTCTGGTGGTTGTGATTCTGCCCCTCTTGTTCCCAATGGCCAATCTCCTATAGATTGGCATGGAATAGGGAAGCAAGCAAAGACCGGGACGAAAACTGACGAGAGAACGGCAGGTTTAGGGAGAAATACGTGTTTGATAGAAATGGTTTGGGATCACAAAGGCCTTCCTGGTGAAAGGGAAGCTATTGACAGCACGTTTCCCCTTTTCGATAGGCACTTTCTCTCTGCACTTGAACATAAATGATTAAGGCTTAAACAATAGTGTTTAAAAAAAAAAAACCCAAAAAACAGCCCAGCAGCTCCCTGGTCAAGCAGACTTCAATGGCAAGGAAGGCCTCAGGTTTGCGAGCTTCAAAAATCTGGTGTTAGCAAGAGTTGGATGCACTTAACTCCGCGCCCCTGACTTCTACCAGAAGGGGACATCTCTATCGGCGCGCCAGGGAACCGAATGGGGACTTACTCCCGAGTAAAAGTGTACACATGTTGTCAGCCGTAATCCGTTTTGCCAGTGTTAATGAGCAATAAAGCTTTGAGCTGTTAATTGGATTCGGCTTCTCTGTCTCTCCCTCTCTTTCCCTCCTCCATTTATGAGCGGTGACGCTTAGGGCGCGTCTTCTTCAAGGCCTTGTCCGGAGCCGGGCTGGGCGCTTGGGGAGGGGGGGCAACCCGAATGCCTCCTGCGTCGTTTAGAGATTCGCACCGGCAACCGAATCCCATCTCTTCGGCCATGGCTCTGAAGTGAAAAGAACCTAAAACGCCCATTCAACGTCGCGGCGTTTGTCGCCTGGCTAAATAATAATATCAGCCCGGGGTGTCTGTGATCCGCGGGGCCGGGGAACCATTTTCCGCCGAGGAAATCGGTTTTCGCCGAAACCCACCGGCTTCTTTCCAGACAAAGGCTGTGAACCAGCCAGCGTCCGGCTCTTTTTCTGCGGCCCAGTCCTCTGCGCGTCTAATTAGGAGGCAAGGTCCGGTGCCTTCACCGCGGCTTTCTCCCGAGTAACCGCGTGTTTCATTGCAGCCCAGCCTAACGCTCGGCATTCCGAACTGAATGCGAAGCGAGTAGGCACCGTTTCCGGTTGTTTTTGTGTGTGTGTGTGTGTGGGGGCCTCCTGGTTGCAGGTGCGAGAAGCCCCAGAGGTTCTTTCGCCAGCCAGCAGCTTCTAAACCAGCTCAAGGGCAACCCATCCCCCGGTGGTGGCTCTTATGAACAAGGAGGCTACCCCGGTCCCTGCACCGATGCACTTGGTTGCTGGAGGCTTGTCCCTCCCAGTCTTCCTTGCAAGCTATAGCAACACTCCCCGCCTCAACCCCCCCATCTCCCACACACACACCCTCAGCGTTTTGACAGGGAGAGAGAAAGGCCAGTGGTCAGTGATTCGGCGTCTTGACCCAGGCTTCGCCTCACCCCCTTCTGGGTCTCTCCTTGCCGGCAATCAAAGGTGAAACAGGTTCCTTCAGCAAAGTTTCCCAGGAACCATCGCTCTCATCCTGGGGGCAAATGTGAACATTGCCAGGCAGAAGCGAGTCGAGGGAGAAGGAAATTCCTCGCGCCCCCCCCCCCTTATTGGACAACAGCAAACCCAGTGGGTCCCCATGTACTCTTGCCAGTGGGGTTGGGGGGGGGGGAATGGGCCGGGATGGAAGAGAACAGACCGATGAACTGAAGTCTGCGTTAAATCAACGCAGGAACTTCCTCAGAGGGAGCAGCTGGGAACTTCCAGGTAGATGCACAAACTACAAATAGGATTAATTGGAAAAGAAATGTGGGGGGGGGGAGAGAAGGTTTTCTGGAATTTGGAATCCCAACAAGCCTGTTCTCTGGAGCACAACTAAGGGATAGCGCTAATCAAAAATACAGTCTCCTCCCCGAACTTTTTAAAAGAAAGGATTTGAATAGCCGTTTATGAATTCCAGAAGCGGTTAAGAAAATATTTGCACCCTTTCCTGAGCTGCCGCATCCTCCATCTGCCCGGAAGATTCCCAGTGCCAACCCTCCACTGAACTGAATGGGAAATAAACAGGGATTATGGTCCGTCAAGAAGGGTTTAGCGAAGGAGAACTTCCTGCTGAAGTAGGCCTTCTGAGCAGGAGAACTTCCCTTGGAGTAATTTGAATTAATATTTCAGAAATCAGTCGTTTTGCCAAATCATTGAGCGGGGGGGAGAGGAGGAGGAGGAGGAGGAGGAGGGCAGACTGCCCGCTAGAGACCGTCCTAATTCATATTCTCTCTCGCTCTCTCGGAGATTATAGCAAACCCGTTGGATCTGACAGGCAAAAAGGGAAAATGTTTCAAAGCCAGCTGCCCAAAGTCTTTCGACTTTTCTTTCCAGAAAAAGAAATCCCAGGTCTAAATTCTAGCAAGGGGTAAGTAAATTATGGAAATCTTAGATAATTCTTTGGGCGTATAAACATCAAAGGAGAGTCGTTAGCTTTCCTAATCTCTGCCACAGAATGGATTTTGAAAAAAAGAATAAAATAAAATAAAACCAACTGAAATGTACACGTTCCCCGGTAGAGAACCTGGGTTATATAAAAGTAGAAGGAGGGGGAGACGAAAAGGGAGGAGGGAGGGAGGGAGAGTGATTCGAGCAATAGAAGAAGCTGTTCGCCAGGAATAAAACAAGAGGGGAGGCACACCAAATAGTTTAACAGTTTTCGCCGCCGTAATCATTTGACTCGCTAGAATGGAAAGGTTTGCATCTGTATCGCCCATCTGCCAATATTTAGGAATAATGTTTCCTCGGGGAGTTTTAGACTAGACTTCTTCTTTTTTCTTTTTTTAAATCTACTGGGTAGTATTTAAATATGACATTATTTTAAACCCGCACACTCCCATTAAAAAGTAAAAATTCCATTTTACTACTATTATACGACCACGCACACGAGGGCGGGCGCCCGCCCATTGCAGGCTTTTTCGTTTGAACCTTTTTTTTCCCAGTCTGAGATAAAAACGTCAGCAAATGGCTAACAGCATAATCTACCGGGAAGTTCTCCTGCGCATGCCCCCACCCCGAAGAAATCTTACAGTCTTTTACATGAACCTCATTGAGAGGAACGGACACACCGAGCACTTAGGCAGATCCCTACAGTTTCAGCAGAACCATGTTCAGGGGTATTTCCTTTTAAGCTGATCGTGTCATATTTTTCACTGAATAATTTGAAATACCATCGAAAGGATTTCATGCAAGAAATAAATGCATTCATGCAGTAAGTCGGTGGGAGCATAACGATCTGATCAAAAGGTATGAATATGGGTTCACACATTCTTCCTATTTACTATTTGCATATATGTATTGCAGCAAAGAAAAAAAACAACGCCTAGCAGGTAGGCTGGAATTTAATTCTACATCTACCTGTAAACTGTTTTCTGGAAATAAATTAGAGTACAGATCTCTGTTGCTCCAGCAAACAGCCCTGATTATTTATCTTTTTGGAAAAGCCAAAAAAAAATGCATAGTGTCCTACACGTATTTTCTTTGCAACCAGCTCTGTTCATATCAGCGACAACTTAAAGGAATTAGATTTAATGCCTTCAAAATATATCCTTCACTTTCAGAAAAACAAGTTTATTTCCCCCACGAGTTTCCCAACTTGTTTGGGCAGAGGCCTGTCGTTTGGTGAACCTGCTCTATGTACTAAGAAAACAATAGACAATAGCATCATCGTCATCAACAGCAGCGGCAAAATAACAACAGGCAATTACATTTTGGTAATAAACAAGGCTAGCTAACCTTCTTGTAATTACAGCTTTGACTCAACACAGGAGCGCTGGCACACACGCAGAGAGAGAGACTCCACATTCTTTATCCAGTTAACATTCCCTAGGCTGAAGCCTGAAGTATCTGAGATCACTTTCAAATGCCCTTTCTAACAAGCCCCTGAGCAAGAGGCCACTAATTTTCAGTGAACAAAAAGCCACTGGAGAGAGCCCCGTTTGTCAATATCAACTGGTCCAGCAATTTCCCATCTTCAGACACATCGGGCCTATCCGAGCTGGCAGATGTTTAGACAAGATTTTATAAATTGTTCAATATCAGCCTGTAATGAACCCCAACTGACCATTCCAAAGCAGCTAAAAGCATCCAGGATCTCCCCTGCTGGGATCTAATAATGCTCTCACGCTGGAACATTATTAATCATGGAATAAAATAGATGAGCCTCTTGAAAAATAAGTGTATGATTGATTAAAGGGCAATCTAAGAAGCTATTATTCTTGTTTCATAACCGTAAGTTATATTCACTCAATTTATCTTTGGGGGAGAAAATAAATGGTTGTTTGTCTCTTTATTGAAATTATATTATATGGGAATTCTCATTATTTGCTGGGTGAGGGAAATGAAGTGATTATTTAGCATGTTTTTGGAGCAAAGGTAGGTGTCTTAGGTGATCGCCACATTACAGATATAAATAAAAAGCATTTTTAAAGGGTATGATAATTTGCATTCCCCCTAGATTTAATTAGATATAGCAATCTTTTGTTAAAAATGAAATATGTTTGCTTAAAACATGTGTTAAAATGACAAGTTTTAATTAACAGTATTTCTACTAAATATAACAGCATATATGGTAATAATGCATCACTTAATTCTCAAGGTTTTCATTGTCCTAAATATACATGCATTCAAATAGATTCAATTGGTCATATGGCTAAATATATTCCAAAAAGTTTAGAAGTTAATGTTAATTGTTGTCAGTGATGTTTTGTAAGCTACCACACCTATTGCGTTTATAGGTTGCATTTATATTGCATACATATATTGAAAAGGAATAAAAAAGCCACCACCTTTTTGTAGACTAATCTGTTTTTATTTACAATTAAAGATATAAATTAGTAAAGAATTCTCATTAAACAATGAGGGATTGTATCACCATCAATATCTCAAATAAAAACCAGGCATAATTTATTTACAAAAGAGTTGGGATTCCATTGCAATACAACTTGCATAAAATTACTAGAAGCTTTTTTATCATTACAAAAATAAATATCAAATATGTTTCCACTTTGTAAGTACTCAAGTTCTTCAGTCATGAGTTTCATTAATTAATCCCTACTGTATGCATCTTTTACAAAGAATTTGTACAATAAATCCTATCACACCTACAGAATATAGATATATATATACCGTGGCAATGAAGTGATCAATTCAAGATATCCTGAGAAAAAAACAGCTTTTTTTTTTGTCTTCCTTTTAAAATCACACATACATGGGGGGAACTAGACTATACCAGCGAATTCACATAATGTCCATCAAAAATCTGTTTTAATAATTAGACAGAGTCTTGTAGATTTAATAGTGTTCTGTGGTCTTCTTTTATACAGTGGCACAAGATGTGATCCGGATTTAGAGTTTTGTTAGAGATAGACATAGAGATAGATAGATTAGCTTGGGGAGAGATGATGGCTTGTTGACTTTTCTCAAAGCAATTGTGACACCTACCTGTGGACCAAGGAAAACACCAGATCATCCACAATCTTTCAGTTACATGAGGAGCGTTAAAAAACGGAAGGTAAACTAATGCTTATTCTCCTTTCTTGACATCGTAAGTTGGGAAATGGGTTTTATCACTGGGTGTAGTTGTTTTCTTTTTTTTGGAGGGGAGGGGGAATATTTTGAGCTAAATGGTATTCTTCAGTCCTAACTATAGTAGCTATTTGGAAATAGATGGGGGTGCAGGGGTGGGGAGAGAATCAAGGCAATTCATACAAACCCCACTTGGAATCCAGCCAGCATTCATCTCATTGTTTCTTCTGTTTGAAATGTATATGAGCACACCAAATAAATGAAGTGTGATGCAGTTCTTAGACTTCCAGGTTTATGGCAATGCCTTAGGGTGTAACTGAGCCAGACGTTCTTCTGCACAGGCCCACCAAAATGAATGAGAGTAACTATGTTCTTACTGCTTTTACTCAGTAGGCTTATATACATTTCAAATACTAGAGCGAGACAATGAGATTAATTCTGGCTATGTTCCAAACCATAGCATGTGCTCCTTCTTTCCCATTCATTTCAGTAGAGTTCTGTGCAGGATAACTTCCCTACTGAATCGTATCCTTCATTTGCAAATAATGACTTGGGAAAATGGGTAACTATCACGATTTAAATACCTGTACAAAAATGTAGGATTTTTGAAAAGAATCAATGGGAATGGTGTGTAATGCAACTGAACTGACTTCTTAAAAAGGAAGAAAGAAAGATAAAAGGAGGGGGTGAAAATACAATAGGCTTTTCTTTGCCATCATGCTCTTTGGTAGTGGAGCAAAACATTGACATTAAGCCAATTTATAGGCTGGGCAATAGGACTTGAGAGCAGATGCCAAGCAATCTTCCTAAGCAGTGTAACAGAATAAACAGGAAAAAGAAAATGAAAGGAACTGGTCTCACTTACTTGCCTGGCTGCTGTGCGATTGCACTTCTATAGGTATGGTTGTACTCCTACTGTGCACACTTCAGTGGGGTCTGTCAAAATAGAAGCGTCAGTTAGTCACAGGACACAGCTGGCTAACTAGATTATACACTCTAGGCATGGCCTAGCTCGCTTGCACAAAACCTAGAGCCCAGAGCCCAGTCCTTGGAAAAACTGTGCTTCGGTTAGCATTTCTCAGCTTAAGTGAAGGTTCAAGGGAGGGATTCATTTGAACTCAACAACAACATGGCTTGTAACAGTTCCTTAGAACAATAATAGACCCTTGAGCAAGACAAGCAACCAAAGAAACAATTCTAAAGCACATTTACTCTGGAATAAAACTGTACTCCTACATAACCTTGCCTGGCAGTAAATCCCATTAAATGGCATAGTTCACAAAGGAAGGGACAGATCAACATTTTATTTGCTACACATTGTTTCAAGCAAACTATATTTTTCCATCTTTTTCCTTTTTTCTCCTAAAAACAGAAATTACCCCTCTTTTGCAAATATTAAATGAAACATGTATTTCATTTTAACCAAAAACTGTATTGTGTATTTATACTTCTTCTCCTTCCTTAACTACAAGAAAAAGTTGTTGAACTCCTTTAAAGATAGTCTTACCATTCCTTTAACAAAACATTTTAATGAGTGGAATAGTGAAGCATTTGTTTTTATAATACATTTTAATTAGGATCTGTTCGGCAATTATTTATTTACATTCCCTTCCTAAACCCCATTAATCAGTGGGAGACAAATCCCCTTGTCTTCAGTGAACTCATCTTCGGAAGAGTTCTGATTGAAGCCACAGCCCTGGGCTGCAGTCCTGAAGGCACAAGAGGTGCTTTAAAATGAAGTAAGGCAAAACAAACAAACCAGGGAAAGCTAAAGGGACTTCCTACAGCCGAACCGCCTGCTGGATTGCAGTCAGAAGAAAAAGACAAAGACCAAAAAAAATCAGAAACAAACAAAAACCCAGGGGGTTTTGGACCTCCAGGTGTTGCGCTCCGGACCTTCTCTCTCCCCGTCAACAAAACTATTTTGTGAGGTGCCTCTTTCGATACTGATGGCGTTTTTTCTCCCTCCCCTCTTTCTCCCTCCCTCCCCTCTCCCCTTGGGCAGCAAAAGGAGGCAGGGGCCACCTACCTTTCTTCGTGTCTGAAACCGAGGGTTTGTAATGTGGTTCGAGGTGGCCCGCGGCGGTTTTCAAGGAATTCTCCGCGCCTTGCTTGGGAGCCGAGCTGCCGCCGCCGCCGCCGTTGCTACTGATCACCGTCTGACTGAGTCCCCCCTCGCCGGAGGCCATGGCGGCCGAATTGTACCTCAGGATGCCCTGGCCCTGGAGGGCGTTGAAGTTCCCATAGTTTGTGTAATTGCTATAAAAAGGCGACGTGTAATAAATATGCCTCCCCAGCAGCGAAGAGGGCGAGTAGGCAGCGTTGTGCGGGGCGGAAGAGGGCTGGGCCGACGGCGGACAGCTCTGGCCCAGGCTGTGGGGATGCGGGTGGTGATGCGGGTGGGGAGGGGGGTGCTTAAGGTCCGAAGTGGCGATCTCGGCTAGCGACCACAGCTTGGGCTTGCTGGCCTGCGTGGTCTGCTGCTGTTGCTGCTGCGACGCCGCAGAAGAGATCCGGGCGTCCAAGGCCGCTTTGTTCGCGTTTCTGGCCGAGTCCTCCGAGTGGGGGTGGCCCAGGAGAGGGGCCTCCACGCCGGTGAGAGGGGAAGAGGTGACGGGCTTGATGGGGAGGCCCCGATCCGCCTCCTCGTCGTCGTCCTCCTCGTCGTCGTCGTCGTCGTCTTCGATCTCCTCGTATTTGTCCTTGCAGTCCGAGCCAGATTCGCAGAGCGTGTCCCTGGCCCGGCAAGGGCCCTTCTCGCCGTCCGATTCCGCCGAGCAGGAATGGTCGGTGAGGGAGTCCACCTGCAAGCTGATCCCTGCAGCAGCAACAACAAAACAACCAGGGGGACCGTCAAGGAGACCAAGGGAGGAAGGAGGGGGAGGCGGAGGCAGGACAGGAGCACCCTTCGAGTCCCCGGCCCGCCCAACCCAAAAAAGAGACCGCTGGGGACCCGAGGCCTTTGATCTCCGATTAACATTCCAACGCACGCGCGTCAAATACACCCGCACCCGCACCCGCGACCCCAGCCCCCTTCCTCAACAGGCCGAAAGGGGCTTCCTTCCTGGGGGACCCGCTCCATCGCAGCTCTTTGCAAGTCAAAAGCGGTTTTTTTGTTTTTTTGTTTTTGCCTGCCCCGAATCTCAGCTGAAGGTGAGAAGCACGTTCAGTCCCTGAACTGGCTTGTCGCCATAGGAATTCCTATTCAGCAAAATGCAGGCCTCCCTTTTCAGGGCTCTTGTAAGGATTTCTAAGGTGTAAGCGCCTTGAATATTTGGAACAAATTAGTTCATGCTAAGTATGATGATGGTGATGACGATAAGGGATAGCGGCAGCCCCCTTTATCAGTGCGGCTATTTGAACAGGAATCCCTGCCGGACTAACTATTGACCTTCCGATGAAAGGAAACCCTTTACACGGAAGAAAGGGGCTCTCCAATCCCTCGTGCTTTAAAGAGAAGGGGCAGAGGCTGCTACAGAGCCCCTAGGCATGAAGATGAAGCAAGCTATGCAGAAAGAGGCCTGGCTGTTCACCAGTATAGGAGCTGGGTGGGGAGAGCGCTGTGCCTCCAAGGGATTGCCACCCAGCACGCCCTTACTTACCTGGGAGGCAGGCCCCCTTGAACGCAGAGGCCGAGGTAGGCAGAGCTGCTTCTCGGCCCATTGTCTTCCCCGCCCCCGGGAGCCCGCCTGCCCCTCTCTCACCTTCATCCTCGGCCGAGGTCTCGTTGGTGTCGCGCACTTTGTCGGACGCCGTCTCCTCCTTGCTCCGCACGCCGCCGCCGCCGCCGCTCCCGTCCGCATCCAAGTCCTCGTCTTCGTCTTCGCTCTTGTTGCGCGGCGCCCAGGTCATCTTGTTCTCCTTCTTGAGCCGCCGCCGGGCGTTGGCGAACCAGGTGGAGACCTGGGTGAGGGTCATCTTGGTGATGATGGCAAGCATGATCTTCTCGCCCTTGGTCGGGTAAGGGTTCTTGCGGTGCTCCTGCAGCCAGGCCTTCAGCGTGGCCGTGGCATCTCGCGTGGCGTTTTTCCGATAAGCAGGGTCGTTCAGCTGGTAAGGATACGCTGGGCTGCCGTAAGGGTGGTAGCTGATGGCCCCGCTCATGCCCGTCGTGTGGGCATCGTAAGGAGAGCCCTGCCAAGCACAAAAGCAAAAAGATGTGTGTGAGAGCCATTGATTCGAACTGTTAGTGCACCGACCAGAAGTTGTTGACAAAATCAGAGTAGGGATTATCATACATGTAATATGTATTCCCTAATATACATAACATATTTCTCCCAATAAATTATTTTCATAGCAAATAATACATTATATTATTTTCAACTGTTATGTCGAAATCTCCTATATTATTTTTAAAAGATACCCAGAGGGCATTAGAATCAACTTCCTTTCTCCTCACTGAAAGCTGCTGACACTGTCATTTACGCGTTTCAATTTACTGTAATTCAGTACAGACGTTTCTGTTTTCCCCCCTCCTACAGGTAACTTCTTAATATCTTTCTCCTTTCCCTCTCCTCCTCTTCCACATATTATTGCAACGACATCCCCTCTCCTACTATGGGAGGGAGGAAGACAGACACAACAAAGCCCCCCATTTAGCAATTCACTTCGCTAATGCATTGCAAATCCAATTTGCAAACCAGAAGATATGCACCGCTTCGAATTGGTCAAATGCGATATAATTAGCATTTTAATTCACCCTTTAAATGTTTAAATTGCGCTGATTTAAAGTCTACATAATACCAGGGTGTGGAGAAAGAGGGGGGAAAAATTAGTTGAGCAACTTGATAACTTTCAAAGCCAGTGCAGGAAGCGAAGCTGCGAGGCGCTGCAAATTTACCTAATACTCTTAAATAGCCCAGGAACAATAAGGCTTGGCAACTTACGGCTGCTTTTCTTCTGTCACGAGAAAGTCAAACAGAAGAACGTTTGAGATCGGCTCCCATTATCCTAAATAAAGATCGCTAGGCTGGGAGAAAAAACGGGAGGGGGGAGGGAAGATACTCCAGCCAAAGGCGCCCGATCTGATATCTCTTGTGTGGTGAAACAAAACGAACCCTTTGCCCCACTTTCCCAGGACCAATTGGCTCTTCTATCTTTAATCCTTGATCGGTTTGCAACAGCTACAAAACACTGACAATCGCCAGCACCAACACGTTCAGAAGCAATCGTGGGGTGGAAATCCATCCGAAGCTGCCTCTAACAGCGCGGGCGCGCAGACACACACACACTCTGTGTATCTCTCTCACACATGCACACTTTTGACCGAGTTTCGCCTTGAAAACCAGTAGAAATGCTCAGCAAAGAGATACACATGAAAAAAGATACGCAAAGAGATACGCGGCCGTAGAGAAAAGCAGAGGTAGAGGAGAGAATGAGGGAGAGAAACAGGAAAATAAAAGGAAAGAATAAAGACCCTTTTTTTGGGGGGGGGGAACGAAAGATGATAGAAGGGAGGGAGGAAAGAGGATAAGCGGGAAATGCGAAAGAGCAAGCGAGTGGGAGGGGAAGCGAAAATAACGAAGAATAAAGAAGGAAAGCCGCGAAAGACGGGACAACCGAAGGAAAGTAGAAGGAGGAAAGAAAAAGGAGAAAGAGCCGGACTGCGAGGACAACAGCCACCCTTTCCCTCTCTTCCCTTTAGTTTGCGTGCCTACGGCAGTTTGCCCAGTCTTGTATCCACACGACCACCCAGTCTAGCCCAGGCGGTCTCGGTGTTAGAGGCGTGGGGCGGGGGAGGGATAGAGGAGGAGGAGGAGGAGGAGGAGGAGGAAGATGAAGATGGAGGAGGAGGAGGCTGGGGCTGAAGGTTGGCGCCGAAGCGGGTTGTTCGCTCGCTCGCCGGCTCGTCAGTTACCCACCATGTAGGAGGGGAATCCCGTGGTCGGGTCTGTGGAGTACTGGAGCGGGCTGCTGAAGCCAGTGGCGGCCGCCTGCGCGGTGAACGCCGCGGATCCGGGATACGGGCTGAACGCGGAGCCGGAAGACGACCTGGCCAGCTCTTCGCTCCTGGGCGCAGCCAAGGCGGACGCGCCGTACGCCGGGCAGGAGTAGAGCGCCAGCGAGCCCGGGGGCTGGTAGAGGTAGCCCTGAGGGTAGGACATGGCCGGCTGGCGGCGGGCGGGCAGCGGGCAGGCAGCAGCCGAGCGGGCAGGAGATGCAGCCGCGGCGGGGGCCGGGCTACCCGGAGGAGGAAAAGGAGGAGGAGGAGGAGGTGGTGGTGGT